ATCCCTCACTGCATCCCTCACTGCCCATCTCACTGCATCCCTCCCTGCATCCCTCACTGCCCACCTCACTGCATCCCTCCCTGCATCCCTCACTGCATCCCTCCCTGCCCATCTCACTGCATCCCTCACTGCCCATCTCACTGCATCCCTCCCTGCATCCCTCACTGCCCATCTCACTGCATCCCTCCCTGCATCCCTCCCTGCCCACCTCACTGCATCCCTCACTGCCCACCTCCCTGCCCACCAAGGGACCTGGAAAACTTGGCCACCCGCCTCAGTGACACCACTCCCCCAGCCCAGCAGCAAGAAAATGCCAATTCTGCAGCAGGCACTGGCCAACCCTGACTTTCCAAGCTGCCTCCACCAGACTTTCTCAGTGTACAAGCACTTCTCTGGTTGCCTGAGGGCAAGAACCCATCAGGGTTTTCACATCACAGCTGGACACTAGCAGGTTCTCTCCCCTACCTGCACCCTTCCCAAATTTCAGCCACACTTCTCCAGTGCCAGCTGAGAGGGCTGGACACGGATTTCCAGGCAAGGGCTGGGAGTCACTCTAAGGATATTAGAGCATCAGTGTTTTTCCTTGCCTGGGCCCTGCAGAGCTGGGAGCAGGGAGTTAGCAAGAGACTTTCACAACTTTTAGACCACTGTCCTGCATGTGTTTGATAGAAAGGTCATTTCAATTTACATTTCATGGGGCTCAAAAGATCCTGTCCTCCTAAAATCCCATTTAATTCTGACTATTCTAGTGCAGCACTGCAAGGTCAACTACTATAACACTAAATTTTAGAAATATTTCTAAAAGGTCCTGGAACATGACAGCCAAAATACCTTCTGCTACAAGGCCTCAGACATGGAGTAACTTTGACTTCTATTTATTTTATTTTAAAGGTGTCATGGCTTTCTAGGAACAGGCAACTTTGCCTTTGGGCAGGGTGCACAAACACACCCCTGACAGGTGCCCAGCCTCAAAAAATCTCTGCCATCCACCTCTTTTACCCTTGATAAATAAAGATAAGCATCCCTTGTTTCCTTTTACACCTGCAACACTTCTGCAGGAGGACCCACCCCATGGATAGCACAGCGGCAGCATTCCTGGGCCTGTCCCATCATCTCATCACCAACATCTCAAAAGATGCTTTCTTCTACCTCAACCTGTGAACTGGTCCTGCTCCCCAGAACTGGAAAAGCCAGGGAGTCCTCTTAGGCTGATCTGTGTGCATGGGGAAGGGGGAGAATGGTGGGAGGGAGAGAGGAGAATAAAAACAACAACAAAACAGAAAAGAGAAGAAAAAAGAAAAAAAAAAAAAAAGGAAGGGGAAAGAAACTAGGGAGGCAGGCCTGCTTTTTTCTTCCCTACCATCTATTCAGTGTCAGCAGGGGAGGTCCACAACTGTTGCGTCACATGGAGCACAAAAAAGCCTGAGAAGCGCGTTTTGGCTGATGGAGAGCAGAGTGGACGGGAGGCTGGTGACAGCTCCAGCGCAGGGACCACGAGCCCTCCGCTTTAACTGGCACGGGCTGCTCACAGGCACCAGCAAGGGCAGAAATTCCAGCCTGAAAATACTTTAGTTAACTCCCCAGGCTCAGCTTAGACCCTCACTCTGGTCCAGAGATCCAGGATTTTTAATGCTGCTCAGTCCACAGCAGCCAAAGGGAGGATGCAGGAGATGCTTCGAAATGGAGAGGGGGGAGAAGGGGGGAGATAACCACAGGTTGTGCAGGACCTGGAGAGGTGTTTATAAATAATGGCACTAAAAATAATGCACTGATCACTGGCATCTCTAACACAGCATTTTCTTCTCCACAGAACTCTGACAGTGGTTATGTTGGTGGTATAATCATCTAGATTTGATAGCAGATTAAAAAAAATATATATCCTAAACACCTGTTCAAGAGTTTTGTGTTTTTAAAGGCCATTGCCATTAACCTTGGGCCACGCACTTCATTGTGTTTAATTAGCAAGCTAATGAAGCCGGTTTTATTCCCTTTCTCGAGCACAAGAGGATAAATACAAGACAGTGAAAGAGGAGACCAGATCCATTTGCAGCACAGTTCATTGCTGCATGGCATTACTTAAACTTGTATTGAAATAAAAGTAATGTAATGGCTTGGAAAACATGTTAGCAATGCATTCTGCAAGACAAATCCTTTTACACCTTCTGTATTTTCTCAAGCTCATCGATTAAAACATGATTTCTGAACATTTGGGCTGCAGAGAATTTGCAAACAAAGGGCTAAAAATAAACATAATGTTTTCCTCAATGAATCCTCAATATTCCAAAAAATTAAGCACAACAGATTTTTTTTTTAAAGAACAGCAGCCCGTGCTTGCTTTGTTACAGCCAGCCAAGGTAGAGATGAGAAGCATCAACAATGGAGGTTAAGTGATTTTCGAAAAGCCCACCACTTTCACAGAGCCCTAACATGTACACACACAAAAGGCATACTTTGAGCAAAGCCCAGTGCTCTGAATCCCAGCAACACATTCCAACTTTGGGTATCTCAGCTTGTTTTCCTCTTTTTTTTTTTTTTTTTTTTTTAACTGAACAGATTTAGGGAAAACTGGACAACGAAGATCACGTTGATAAACACTCATAAATATCACAAGAAAGGCAGAAAGGCTTTAAAAGAGAGGGAGGGATTTACAGAATGGCTAATGCACTGATTTAGTGATTCAAAAGGACCTTTCCAAATAAACAGAATTATATTCATTTTCTGGAGTTTCTTTATTGTATTTTCAGGGGGGGTGAGGAAAAATTCAGCACAGGTATGCCCTGTCAGATTATCTTTTTCATAACATGATACATTTAAGAAGCTTTCAGGGTGGGCGTTTTTTTTTTGAAGCAATTGCTTCTTTTCTCTCCAACTTAGATTTCAGCCACTCTGTGCACAGAGCCATAGGATCAGGTTAAATAACCAAAAGCAAACCAAACAAAAACCCAACGACATACCCAAAAAACAAAACCAAAAAAAAAAATCCGGAAGCCATCTCTTTTATTGAATCACCCGAGATAAAAGGATTCCAAGATATATGGAAAGAAAATACATTGACCATAAATCTCCTTTATGCACATAATAGAATTTTCCAGCCAGGAGAGCTGTTGTGATGATAGCAACGCCGAGCACCAGGAATGCTTCTGGCACACACACAACCCCCCCGCCCCCCCTTCCAAAATACCTGCTCTCCTCAGCACTGCTATGTAAATACAAACCCGCACAACCCCCTTCCCAACACATGCAAACAAAGCTGCGTACAAGTGTCCCAGCCATCAGATAAAAAACCCCGAGCTGGCTTGGCTCACTAAGACATTAAATATTTTATTATTATTATTTAATTTTTATTGTCCGCTCCCTTTTTTTTTTTATTGTCGCTCTCACGCACTTTCGGTGTGACTTAAAAAAAAATAATGAAGCGCTGGCAGCGGCGGCAATGGCAATGGCAGAGGCAGGCGGTGGCAGCGCATATTTAATGGGCACTCGGAACAAAGGAAGCCCGGCTGCAGGAGCGCCCTGGGGCCGGCTCCCCCCGCGGCCCCGCCGGGCAGCGCCTTCCCCGGACACTCGGGGACCCGGACACGGCCACGCACACGCGGGGAAACCCCCCCTGCCCCCCACCCGCACAATGGGTGATGGCAAAGCCGCCGGGAACTCCCCGGCTGCCCATCGCGGAGCGGGCACGGCTGCAGCATCGCTGCCTCCCTCACCCTGCCCCCGGGAACCCCCAGCCACAAACAGCCCCCCAGCACCGGCCCCGTACCCCTTCCTTGTCCCCCCAGCCCCCGGGATGGGAGGTGGAAGGAGCGGAACGAGTCACTGCCCGGAGCCGGGGCGGGGGGCTCAGCCCTGGGGGGATCGTGGTGACCAGGCAAGAGGGGAAGGCAAAATTGCTGCCGCACCGGCTTCTCCTGAGGAAAACGCAGCGATAACAAAACAGAAGAGAGGAAATAATACTAATAATATAAGGAATAATAAAAACAAGGAGGTAAATTGGGGAGCGCGGGGATTTCCAGCGTGCCCGCGTTTTCAGGTGCTGGGGGCAGCACAGCGGGTCTGGCCGCTCCCGCCCCCTCGAGGGCTGCGGGATGGGGCACCCCATGGAGACCCCTCCCCACCTCCCCGAGCTATGCCCGGGTGTCCCCTCCAACTCGTGCTCGGGCTTTGGGCGAACTTCCACCCGCGTCCCTCGGCACGACGCGCACCCCGCAGGTTGGAGATGAAGTTTGTAGTCCATGTCCGTAAAATAAACGGGATGAAGAAGACACAAATAAGCACCCTCCTCCGCCGCAGAATCCTCCTCCGGAGGGATGCTCCCCAGGCAGCCCCCGCCGCACACACCCCCTTTTTCCCAACTTTCTCCCCGCGGAGCCAGCCCGTCCCAATAGGCTCGGTCTGTGCCCTACGGGACCGCGCGTCCCGGGGGACAGACGGGAATCGGGGGGACCTTCGTGGTGGAGGGGGGGTCCCGCACACCCCTCGAGTTACACAACCGCAGCCCGGCAGGAGCGGAGCGCACACATGGCCACTACCTGAGAGACCCCGCACCATTCCGGAGAGACCCCAGGGCTCCTCCCGCTGCTCCCAACTCGTCCCCCTCCCCCAGCAACATCCTCGGCTTCTCCCCCACGCCCCCTCCCAGAAGTAAATGCCCATTTTTGCAAAGTTTCCTCGAGATCGCGCCGTGTTTACATTGCCATGAATTCCCACAGGCTGCCTGGAGGGAACAAAAAGCAGCACGGGAAGGCTCGTCCTGCGAGCAGGGAGAAAACGGAGAGGGAGGGAGAGGGAGTGAAAAGAAAAAGAAACCATAATAATAATAATAAGAAGAAGAATAAAGGAAATGAAGCCGATGCAGCGGTGGGGGGATTCCCCAGCTCGGGTGCTTTGCTTCGGAGGGTGCTGGAGGGTGGCTGCAAATAACCGCACGGCCCATTCAATTCTGCATTTGGAGACGCGACCGAGAGCCCGAGCGGGAGGTAAACACGCCGAAAGGCTCTTACCTGCACAGAAAGTTCCCCAGAGCACGGCGAAAGTCAGCCACGAAGCAAACATAGTCCTTTACTTTTTTTTTTTTTTTTTCCTTGCGTGCACCTCTACCCCAAGGGAAACAAAAATAAAAATAAAAAGATCGAGCGCGTGAAAAGAGGTGGGGGGAGAAGCGCTGCTCTGCCTTCCCTCTCGCTCTCAAAAAGAAAAAAAAAAAAAAAAAAAAAAGAAAAAAAGAAGAAAAAAATCTTGGGGGTAGGGGGTGGGAAAAAAAAAAACCAACAACAACAAGAAGAAAATAGGATTTAATTCCTTCGCAGCTGCAAAATTTATCCAGTGGAGACGAACAGACCCGGACGGTTCGACCTGCTCCTGCCCGGCCCCACCGTTCGCTCCCAGCTTTCCAAGAGTTTCTTTCCCTGGGCTTTTGTGCTGGGAGCGCGGCGTGCACCACACACCGACTCCCCCTCCTCCTCCTCCGCCTCCTCTTCCCCTTCCCCCTCCTCCTCCTCCTCCTCCTCCTCCTCCTCCCAATCCAGCCCCTCCGGCTCCCCCAGCAGCGAGGGGCGAGCGCGCTCCCGCCCCTTCCCCCGCGGGTTCCCGCGCAGTGCCCGCGCAGCCGCGCGCGGGTTGCGCGCTCCCCCCGCACACACACGCGCATCCCCCCCTTCTTCTTCCTCCTCCTCCTCCTCCTCCTCCTCCTCCCCGGCCGGCGGCAGGAGCGCGACCGTGCGCGGTTTGTACGGACCCCGCATCGCGGGAGGCTGCGGAGCGGCAGGCAAGGGCCGGCGGAGGGGGCGCGGAGCGGCCGCGGGGTCCGGAGGAGGAGGAGGAGGAGGATGAGGATGAGGAGGAAGCAGCGGGGGCCGCGGCATCGCGGGGCTGCGCGGGGTGGCGGGGGCGCGGCGGGAGGTGCCATGTGCGGGATGGGGAGGAGGGAGAGGAAAATTTAAAAAAAACCCACAGTGTGGAGGGGGAAGGGAAAGGGAGGTTGGATGGGGTTTGGGGGTTTGTTGTTGTTGTTGTTTTGGGGTTTTGTTTTAATAATTTAAAAAAAAAAAAAAACTGAACCGCGTCCAAAATGGCTTCTAAAAAAAGGGAGAAGGCAGCGCGGAGCCAGCGGGGAAACCCGGATGTTGGATACAAAGGGGCTGTGGCGGGGGCGGTGCGGCGCGGGGGCTCCGCGGGCGCTGAGTGGGGAGCGGCGCTGCCCGTCACGGCCGCGCCCGCGGCGCTGAGAGGGGCCGGGGGCTGCCGAGGGTGGGCTGGAGGGGTTCAGGGGCTGGGGCTGCGGGGGAGAGGTTTGGGGGCATGAGGGGGCAGAGGAGATGAGTGTGGACATGGGCAGGTTTAGGGACAGAGGCTGTGGATGAGAGGTTTGGGGGCATAAAGGGGCGGAGGAGATGAGTGTGGATATGGGCAGGTTTAGGGGCAGGGACCTGCGGAGGAGAGATTTAGGGGCAGAGGGTGGGAGTGCAGATTTAGGGGCGTAAATAGGCAGAAAGGTGTGTGCAGAGAGGAGCAGAAGGTGGGAGTGCAGATTTAGGGACATAGAGGTGTGTGTGGAGGGGGCAGAAGGTGGGAGTGCAGATTTAGGGGTATAAAGAGGTGTGTGTGGAGAGGAGCAAAAGGTGGGAGTGCAGATTTAGGGACATAGAGGTGTGTGCAGAGGGGACAGAAGGTGGGAGTGCAGATTTAGGGACACAGGGGTGTGTGTGGAGGGGACAGAAGGTAGGAGTGCAGATTTAGGGACATAGAGGTGTGTGCGGAGGGGGCAGAAGGTGGGAGTGCAGATTTAGGGACATAGGGGGGTGTGTGGAGGGGGCAGAAGGTGGGAGTGCAGATTTAGGGACATAGAGGTGTGTGTGGAGGGGGCAGAAGGTGGGAGTGCAGATTTAGGGACATAGGGGTGTGGGGGGGGGGGCAGAAGGTGGGAGTGCAGATTTAGGGACATAGAGGTGTGTATGGAGAGGAGCAGAAGGTGGGAGTGCAGATTTAGGGACCATAGGGGTGTGTGTGGAGGGTACAGAAGGTGGGAGTGCAGATTTAGGGACATAGGGGTGTGTGTGGAGAGGAGCAAAAGGTGGGAGTGCAGATTTAGGGACATAGAGGTGTGTGTGGACAGGGACAGAAGGTGGGAGTGCAGATTTAGGGACACAGAGGTGTGTGTGGAGAGGAGCAAAAGGTGGGAGTGCAGATTTAGGGACATAGAGGTGTGTGTGGAGAGGGCAGAAGGTGGGAGTGCAGATTTAGGGACATAGAGGTGTGTGTGGAGAGGGCAGAAGGTGGGAGTGCAGATTTAGGGACATAGAGGTGTGTGTGGAGGGGGCAGAAGGTGGGAGTGCAGATTTAGGGACATATGGGGCCAGAAGGGTGTGTGGGGGTACAGGCAGGGCACTGCCAGGGGGAGGAGGTTTGGGAGAGAGTGTAGGGGCAAGAGCTGGAGGGAGAGGTTTAGGGGAAAAGTGTGTGGAGGGTTTCTATGGACAAGGGCAGGTTTAGGAACAGAGGGTTGTGGGGAGATGAAGGTTTGGGGGCAGAAGGTGGCTGAGGGGATGTGTGCATTGCAGGAGTTTTAGGGGCAGGGGGTGGAGGTTTAGGGGTAGGAGACTGGGGTGGAGATTTAGGGGCAGAAGGTGGCAGAGAGCGTGTGTGGATAGGGGCAGGTTTAGGGGCATGTGGACAGAAGGAAGAGACTATGAGGCAGGGGGTGGGGGAAATGCAAATAGGGCAGGGGGTAGTGGAGCAGGCTGGCAGGAGAAATTTGGGGGCAGAAGGCTTGGGGGTGGAAGATTTAGGGACAGGGCAAGGTGGAGGATATGTGTGGATAGGGGCAGATTTGCAGACAGGGTGCTGCGGGGGAAGGTGGAGATTTAGGGACAGAACTTGGCAGTGTGGATAGAAGCAGGTTTTGGGGCAAGGGGCTGCAGGGGGGAGGTTTAGGAGAAAGGGAGATTTTGGGGCAGGGAGGAGAGGAAGGGAGGTTTAGGGGTGGGGACAGTTTTAGGGACAGTGTCTGGAGAAGAAGGGTTAGGGGAAGAGGGTGGTGGAAGGTGTGTGTGGATGGGACAGGTTATGGGGCAGGGATGGCTTAGGGGATTTAGGGGTAGGGGTTCTGGGAAGTGCAAATAGGACAGGGAATGGTGGAGGGAGCTGGGGAGCGAGATTTTGGGAAGTGGATCAGGCCAGGGCGTGGCAGAGGGTGTGTGTGGATAGGGACAGGGGACTGCGGTGAGATTTAGGGGCAGGAGGCTGCAGGGGGCAGGTTTAGGGGTAGGGGGTGGCAAGGCAGAAGGTTTAGGGACAGGGAATGACTGGGAACATTAGGAGCAGGGAGTGGGAGGAGTGCAAACAGGGGCAGGGGGTGGCAGAGGGGGCTGGCAGGAGGTTTTAAGGGCAGGGAGTGGCTGGGTGGTATTAGGGTCAGGGAATGGTGGAGGGCAGGGCTGTGGATGGGGTGGAGAGGGGGGTAGCACTGGGCAAAGCCATCTCATTGTCTTGGAGAAATTCTCTGCCCCTTGCCTTCCCAGTAGAGAGCACAGCACAGCCCCACCAGGGTGAGGAATAAACGGTGTCCTTGTAGAAAAAAACAATCCTCCTCTTCCAGGCAGTGGGAGTGTGTGCTCCTTGCTCATGTCCTGGAGCCCCCTGCACCCCAACAGCCCCTTGACCCCAGGATCCACCCCAGAACCAGTGTCCAGGGTCCCCAGGACAGAAGGGACACCTCAGCAGAATCTATTTTTAGGCCATTTCAGGGTTAATAAGGTTTCTCCATTGGCAGAAATGCAGGAATTAAACGTTCTCCACAACTTACTTTAATTCTAACTAAATAATATGGCTACAGGGAGCACCAAAGGAATCTTAAGGGGGAAATGCTGAAGTTGGGTCATTCTCAAGACTTTGGGTCTGTGAGGTCCACTGACTCATCAGAGAAAGGAATGTGGCATGGATGGATGCTGTGCACAGCAGTGAATCGCAGGTCAGCTCCCTCAAATTCATCCGATGGGGACTAAGGCTGAAAATATTCCTAAACTCATTTTCTCGTTTTCCTTTTCCTCTGGAGGGAGATAAGAGTAAACATGAATCATTCTTCTAAAAGTTTGAAAAGCATTTTGTTCCAAGAAGAAATATGTAATTTTTTTTCTTCTTCTTCTTACAGTAACAAGTTCACAGAAAACTTCAGGAGGCTTTTACAAAGGCTTGTAAGCACTTTGAAGCTGGAGACTGTTTTTATATACGTACAGCACTTGCGTAACAAGGTCTCGACAGTGAACGGGATTCCAGGGTGCAGTTGCAATAAAGTGATTAATAGTATCATTCATGGTATCATACCTCATTCATAAGTTTCCTGTAAGTTAAGAGGAATACATTGGCAGGAACACAGTGGTTGTGACTTTAAACACGATACTCTTGGGGGGAAAAGTTACAGCTAACACATGCACAGAAGGGCAGTGCAATTAGTAAAGCTATATAAAAGGCTCAAGAAAATAATTTTTAGAGCAAAAGCCTGCAAAGATCTAGTTCTGAGCTGGTTCTGTGGCACAGAAAAAGCAAGGTGGATATATTGATACGCAGCTGGTGAAACCAAGATCAGAAAATAAGATGTGTCTGTCAAAGGGATGGGTCAGGGGTGATCACTGTTTATTCAGGAACACACAAGTAGGGTTTGGGTTTGTTGCTTCTTAATCTGCACACAGTGAGGTGACATTTGTCACCAAAATGTTTGCCACCAAAATGTTTGTCACCTGCTTGTGGCAAAAAATCACTGAGAAGACCAGGCAAGATGCAAAAAGGAATGGAAAACAGTTGTCAAAGGAGAAGTAAATGTCCTGGCTGTGAGCTGCAGCAGCTCAGGATGCATTTGGAGCCTTGAGAGAAATGACAAATAATGGTTCAATATTTCCTATAAAGCTGCTTATTTCATTTGAAAGCAAATGATGGGTCAATATTTCTGCTTATTTCATTTGTGGAATAAGTTGTTAAACAGCTACCAATTGGCAGAAGTATGAAGAAATATGTGGGGTGCTAAAAGATGACCTGGTGTTTCCGTGTACCAGCATCCCCACAACGAGCTAAAACGAGGCATTTAGCTCGGTCCAAGAAAACATCAGCCCTCGGAGCAGGCGGGGTGAGTAACAGAGCATGGCTTGGGCTGCCTCCCTGCCCGGGCTCAGAGCTGCTCCTATTTTTAATCCAGCCGTGCTATGAAAAGCTCCATTCCCCAGCACCTGAATGGCTGCTCTGCAGGCAGGACCCGGAGCGCGTTTGTCACACGGCTGTCATCGCTTTTGAGGAAACGCGCCCAGCGGCTTTCGGATGTTGTCCTAAAGCCACCCGGTGGGACAGGCACAGCCAGGTCTTCCTGCACTGGGGCAGCTCCTGCTGCGTGGCACAGGCAGAGCCACCCACCCACCAGAGCTGCACCCCAGGGGATTTTTGCCCAGGGGTTTATGACACCCTGAAATTCCATTCATTGAACTCCCTCCGGTCTTGTTTGCGGTGTTTCACAGGGAGGTGCTTACCCAAAAAGCTAAAACATTTTCTCTTAATGCAACACAAAAACTCAGGAGTTAGTATTGTCACTGGAGATAATGTTTCAGCCTTGGCAAGATGACACTTAAAAACTTCATCAGCCTTCCAAGAATTTTGGAAATAGTGGTGTGTAGGAATCCAGAGCTTCCCTCTGGCTGCCCTGGCAGGTCTGGGACCCTGGCAGGGGATCAGGAACCCCCCTGTACAGAGCCCCCAGAGACACTGTCTGTGATCTCTGTCCATGGAAAAGAGTTTTCAATCTTACAGGATGAATTACAAGCTCTGAGTGTTTAATATGAGTAATAATTAAGTGTGGCACGGGTGCAAAAGTAAAATTTTAGGATTCTAGATTAGGGGTCCAAAGGGGACAAGATGGAGGAAATTGGGTGTGCCTTGTCCTTTTTCTCCTTCTTCATGCCCTCCATGTTTCACTGTGGTGTTGGCATTTTTCTGTTGGTTTAGACTGGGGACACACTGTTCAACTTAGGTGACAGATATTGGCACGTTATTGTAAATCCAGCACAGGTAGTTTCTGGTATTTAATGTTTGTAACATCCCACTGAGGGCAGAGCCCCACACGCTGCCCTGCAGGACAGAGCTGCGGCAGGGCAGCAGAACATGTTAGAGATAAACAGAATAAACAACCTTGAAACCAGCACAGACTAATTATGGCTTCTTCTTTGGCAATGGGGCAGAAAGACAGAGACTTTCTACAATCTCAGAATCATCAATACCACAGATTCCGACAGTGGTGAATAAAGGCAGTGAGTGCTAAGAGCAGGCAGTGCTTGCAAGAAGTGCCCTTACCAGCAGTGCTTTCAGGAGCTGTTTTTTATTTTCACTTATCATTAGAGCTGCACAGTTCAGACTGCTTTTAAATAATTATACTTAACAGTTAAAAAACTCTCCCATGCTAAAATAAATTTTAGCTGAGGTGGTTTATGCTTTGCAGCCTCATATGACGCTCAATCTTTCTCGTGTGACTCTTGGAATAAGTCAAATTTTTTTTGATACTGCACATGTGATTAAGATACTTGGATCACTTAAGCCTGCACGAAACTGCAGTGCTCGCATGTCATTTATCTTAAAATCCTATTGTAGTGCTCATGAAGTGTAATTTCTTCAGTGAATGGAAATTTATACTGACAGAGGTGTTATAAAACATGGAAAATACTGTGAGGAGAGGACCCAGCATTCTTTTTATCTCCTCAAGTGTTCACTAACGGGAATTTGTTTTTCAGCTCAGTGTTGGTTCATTGCAGGTTGCAAAGTTCTGGTGTAGTTAAAGGGACCTGTTTCCAGACTTCTTAAGCAAAACTCACATTATTTGCAACAGGTGGGAGCTGTGTGCTGTGGCCTCGAGGCAGCAAACTGGTTCACAGGCTTCACTTTCCACATTGGTGCCTACAGCTGCTTGCAGAAAATCACCCAGCCTAAAGAAACTCCTGGGATCCCAGCCTCTACCTCCCCGTTTTAAAATGCATGGGTAAGAAAAACCAATTTATATTCATAACCCTGAGTAAATAAATTGTCACTTTAACTACACATTTTATTGTAATTAAGCGCTTCCCCGTAATAACCAACCCACACTATGGAGCTGTTTCTTAATATAACGGTAAGGCAAGTTCTCAGCTGTGAGCAGAATTAGGCAGCTTTTAAATGCAGAGACCAGTTGATACAGCAGGGTGGTGTTGCACAGTTCTCAACATGTGGAGAAAAGGTGGGTTTGCTTAAGAGCTTTGTCCTTATTTGTCAACGAATGCTGTTGCTGTGTGGTCAGCAAAATCAAATCTCACTGGCCAAATTTCCCAGTAGGGTTTTTACCCAGTATCAGCCTGGCTAATAGCCTCTGCTCCCAGTGGACTAACCTAACTCCAAAGGGAACACGACTGAGGCAGATTTAGATCTTCTCCAGCTTTCTAAGGACTCGCTGCTGTCACCTATCCATAATGCAGCTACAATTAACTTTGCTGGAATTTCTATATTTGAAGCAGCTTGAAATCAGAGCCTGAACTTCCAGACGTGGCTGCAGATAGTCTTTGCTACTGTCTGTACGAGCCCTTGGGCTTCACACTAAAAAAGCCCACCCATGTTGACAGATTTGCCTTTTGCAGTCTGGCTTCAGTGGGCTGGCAAAAATAGCAAGTGATACAGCAGATAGAATGGGCCCTAAACTATATTTTTTGATAGCTTTTCTTAGCTCCAGACTAAAGAGCGAGGCATCAGATGCTGGCAAATTAGCAGGGAATATACGGAGCAAAGGGATTTGTTACTGAAATGCCCACAATCCAGCACTTCTGCTGTCCCCCAGAATTTGAAGTTTTCCCTTGGTTTTCAGCTTTATTTTGATTAGAGTGTAAATACCAGCCCCTGGCACATGTTAGCTGGCATCAGAGCCACGTGCCAAAGCTTTGTTCAGGTCGGAGCTTTAGTGTCGTTTTACTCATCCATGGATTTTGTTAGGACTTCTGAGGCATAGCTCATTATTTTTACCACTGTAACCAGCAGTTGTTGTATAATTATTCCTTTTTAAATCCAGGACAGCTTGTCTGGCCTTTTGGGTGGGGAACTTAATTGCATGAAGGCTCTGGAGAGTGGCTGATGCTGGGTAGTGACTGTGCTATTGGCGTGTTACCTGCCCCCAAAAAGGAGAATCCAGGCTCTAATCCATACCCCCAAGTCATGGCAGCTTGCTGGGTACCAAAGCACACCCACACTGGAGCTGGAGACTCCTGTGGCTCAGACAAGGAGGATAAGGGACACCACATGACTAGCTCTGCAATGACAATATATGTTTCATTGGTGAAGGACTGCATTTTCTATCCTTTTTTAACCCAGGTCACAGTGCCAAAGGACTGCCTGATGTTTGAGGTTCCTTTCAGGTATTTTCTTCATTGAGATGCACTGCTCTTAAGGCTACTGTGGTTGCCAGCTTTGTCTTATGCCCTCGAGCACTACTCTGCCTTTTAGTGTTGAGAAACCAGTATTCAAATTCCCCTGAAACACCAGGCTGTGCTGCTTTCACAGCTCACAAAGGGCCCTCCCTCATCCTCAGGTACAAAAGCTCTTACTGCTCCAAAGTCAGTGACCAGGAGTCAGGAAAAGCACAGTTTAAATATATATATATATGTAAACTACAATCCTAAACTTTAGACATCTCAGGTTTTTAAGCTCTCTGCCTCAGATTCCCTGTAAAATACAAATAACAGCGCTGATGAGGTGTAGCTCATAAAAAAGTAAATATTTCTAGCTTCTGAGAGCATGTGTTGCAGCCAGTTGAAGTTAATGCAGGTTAAATTCAGTGGAAGGAAGGTATTTCTACCAGCTGGTGGTACGTGACCATTCAAACAGTTTACCAAGTGCCACGGCAGCAAAATTCCTTCTGTTTAAGACTGCCTGGTTGCCTGGCAGGAAAATGTGTTCTCAAATTGGTGTAGTAACACTGGAATCACTTCTTGGTGACAGCCCTATTGACTGACAGCCTCCAGTAATGGCAATCTATTAATCTCTTGCTCTGTGGCCATAAAGCATTCTGTCCTCCTTCCATTAAAAGCCGAAGGTAAATAAATGCAGGTCCATCATTTTGCTTGCATTCTTGCTGTCTGCAAAACCCTCTGTGTGAGAGGGACAGGCAGAAGGGCTAAAGAGAATGTCCCCATCGTTGGCACGAGGCCAGCTGAGATGTGACACTGCAGGCGTGGAGCTGCTGAGGTGCCCTGGTCACCCAGCTGCTGACACTGCCTGGGGCAAAGGCAAAGTGTGAAACCTGCTCTGAGCTTGGA